TATGTAATAACACTATAGTAATAACACTATGTAATAACACTATAGTAATAACACTGTATAAATATAGTAATAACACTATGTAATAACACTCATGTAATAACACTATGTAATAACACTATGTAATAACACTATGTAATAACACTTAGTAATAACACTAGTAATAACACTATGTAATAACATATAGTAATAACACTATAGTAATAACACTATGTAATAACACTATAGTAACAATGTAATAACACTATAGTAATAACACTATGTAATAACACTATAGTAATAACACTATGTAATAACACTATAGTAATAACACTATGTAATAACACTATAGTAATAACACTATAGTAATAACACTATGTAATAACACTATAGTAATAACACTATAGTAATAACACTATAGTAATAACACTATAGTAATAACATAGTAATAACACTATGTAATAACACTATAGTAATAACACTATAGTAATAACATAGTAATAACACTATAGTAATAACACTATGTAATAACACTATAGTAATAACACTATAGTAATAACACTATAGTAAATAATACACTATAGTAATAACACTATGTAATAACACTATGTAATTAATACATATAGTAATAACACATTATAGTAATAACACTATGTAATAACACTATAGTAATAACACATAGTAATAACACTATGTAATAACACTATGTAATAACACTATAGTAATAACAACTATAGTAATAACACTAATGTAATAACACTATAGTAATAACACTATAGTAATAAACACTATAGTTCATATAAACACTATAGTAACATAAACACTACATGTAATAACACTATAGTAATAACACTATGTAATAACACTATAGTAATAACACTATGTAATAACACTATAGTAATAACACTAGTAATAACACTATAGTAATAACACTATAGTAATAACACATAGTAATAACACTATAGTAATAACACTATAGTAATAAAAAATAAACATAGAATAACACTATGTAATAACACTATAGTAATAACACTATGTAATAACACTATGTAATAACACTAGTAATATAACACTATGTAATAACACTATAGTAATAACACTTAGTAATAACACTATAGTAATAAACATATTAATATAAAACACTATAGTAATAACACTAATAGTAATAACACTATAGTAATAACACTATAGTAATAACACTATGTAATAACACTATGTAATAACACTATAGTAAATTAACACTATGTTACATATAACACTATGTAATAACACTATAGTAATAACACTATAGTAATAACACTATAGTAATAACTAGTACACTATAGTAATAACACTATGTAATAACACTCACTAGTAATAACACTATAGTAATAACACTATAGTAATAACACTATAGTAATAACACTATAGTATAATATCACATGAATAACACTATAGTAATAACACTATAGTAATAAACACTATGTAATAACACTATAGTAATAACACTATAGTAATAACACTATAGCTTATAACACTATGTAATAACACTATAGTAATAACACTATGTAATAACACTATAGTAATAACACTATAGTAATAACACTATGTAATAACACTATAGTAATAACACTATGTAATAACACTATAGTAATAACACTATGTAATAACACTATTAATAACAATGTAATAACACTATAGTAATAACACTATGTAATAACACTATGTAATAACACTATGTAATAACACTATAGTAATAACACTATGTAATAACACTATGTAATAACACTATAGTAATAACACTATGTAATAACACTATAGTAATAACACTATAGTAATAACACTATAGTAATAACACTTAGTAATAACACTATAGTAATAACACTATAGTAATAACACTATAGTAATAACACTATAGTAATAACACTATAGTAATAACACTATAGTAATAACACTATAGTTAATAACACTATAGTAATAACACATATAGTAATAACACTATAGTAATAACACTATAGTAATAACACTATGTAATAACACTATAGTAATAACACTATAGTAATAACACTATGTAATAACACTATAGTAATAACACTATGTAATAACACTATAGTAATAACACTATAGTAATAACACTATAGAACTATGATAACACTATAGTAATAACACTAATATACACTATAGTAATAACACTATAGTAATAACACTATGTAATAACACTATAGTAATAACACTATAGTAATAACACTATAGTAATAACACTATAGTAATAACACTATAGTAATAACACTATGTAATAACACTATAGTAATAACACTATAGTAATAACACTATAGTAATAAACTATAGTAATAACACTTTTAGTAAGAACACTATAGTAATAACACTATAGTAAAACACTATGTAATGACACTATGTAATGACACTATAGTAATAACACTATAGTAATAACACTATATAATAACACTATAGTAATAACACTATTTGTAATAACACTATGTAATGACACTATGTAATAACACTATAGTAATAACACTATAGTAATAACACTATAGTAATAACACTATAGTAATAACACTATGTAATGACACTATGTAATGACACTATAGTAATAACACTATAGTAATAACACTATAGTAATAACACTATGTAATAACACTATAGTAATAACACTATAGTAATAACACTATAGTAATAACACTATAGTAATAACACTATGTAATAACACTATAGTAATAACACTATAGTAATAACACTATAGTAATAACACTATAGTAATAACACTATAGTAATAACACTATGTAATAACACTATAGTAATAACACTATAGTAATAACACTATAGTAATAACACTATAGTAATAACACTATAGTAATAACACTATATTAATAACACTATGTAATAACACTAGTAATAACACTATAGTAATAACACTGTAGTAATAACACTATAGTAATAACACTATAGTAATAACACTATAGTAATAACACTATAGTAATAACACCATAACACTAGTAAAAGCACTGTGGAAAATTTTTAATTTTCCTAAATTCAGCATGTGTAAATTTAAATAATACAATAATTGCATAATAAAATGTGATGCTGATTTGACCCTTTCGAGAAATTTGGAGTGGGGGGGGTGATGGGAGTTAGGGGGTGAGTGAGTGAGGGGGAGTGAGGGGAGTGGGGGGAGTGAGGGGTGATGGGAGTTAGGGGAGGGGGAGTGAGGGGGGTGAGGGGGGAGTGGGGGAGTTGAGGGGAGTGAGTGGGGAGTGAGGGGAGTGAGGGGGGAGTGAGGGGGAGGTGAGGGGGGAGTGAGGGGGGTGAGGGGAGTGAGGGGAGTGAGGGGGGAGTGAGGGGGAGTGAGGGGGGAGTGAGGGGGGGGAGTGAGGGGGGAGTGAGGGGGTGAGGGGGGAGTGAGGGGAGTGAGGGGGGAGTGAGGGGAGTGAGGGGGGAGTGAGGGGGGAGTGAGGGGGGGAGTGAGGGGGGGGGTGAGGGGGAGTGAGGGGGGAGTGAGGGGGGAGTGAGGGGAGTGAGGGGGGAGTGAGGGGAAGTGAGGGGGAGTGAGGGAGTGAGAGGGTGAGGGGGGAGTGAGGGGGGAGTGAGGGGGAGTGAGGGGAGTGAGGGAGAGTGAGGGGGAGTGAGGGGGGAGTGTGGGGAGTGAGGGGGGAGTGAGGGGAGTGAGAGGGGAGTGAGGGGGAGTGAGGGGTAGGGGGAGTGAGGGGGGAGTGAGGGGGGAGTGAGGGGAGTGAGGGGAGAGTGAGGGGAGTGTAGAACAGGTGGTGAGTGACGCGGACAGGGAGACGTCATAATGAATTTGATGTGTGAACACTGGTCTGAATTTGTGCAATGTAATTAGGCGTCCTCGAAGGTCAACTGATGTATATCGGACTTAATCCGTAATTTTGAAATTGTTGACATGTTCCCACTGAAATACTGAGATAAATAGTGTGGAAAACGCTTACAATTTGGCAAGAAGGACGGAAAAATAGAAGGCACCAATTATCCCAGGAGCACAACTTAGCTAAATGATGCTTACCAATAATGTGTAGTTTTGCGGTTGCCATCGTAAATTCTAGCTGTAGTGGTAGCGTTAGGGAGTGTTTCCACAAAATAATAATTATGATCCAGTAATTAAATGGCGAGTGCTCATTAAAAATATGTATATATTTTTGTAAAATGTTGTATACTCAACAGATCCCCTCCCCTTTCTTTTCAAGTCACAAACCATCACAAAGTGCACTCAATATCTTGTAATTTACCAACATTATTGGTATTAATTTTATGTTGTAATCTGATAGGCCTGACTTTGTGTGTGTCTCGGAGGAGTCATGGTGCAGCCTTGTGTCTCAAAAATCCCACCTGGCACAGGTACAACTAACATTACTAAGTACAATAAACTGTTGCTTAGTTCCCCCATCAAATTATATGGATGAAATATTACAGGAATGTACCTGTAAACCTCGTCCCCATAATTTATTACAAGCACTGGAGTATTTACACTTATGTTTGTATGTAATATTACTAATTGCAAGATTCGTCTCGTAGAAAATCTCATGACTTTTCATAGGTTAAGTTTCAAACTTATGGTTCTTCGATTTGAATTGTTTTGCCCTGGTCATAGTTAAGATACCGCAGTATGGTATCTCAAAACCTCAGTAAGAAACATGTAACTTCTGTACTTTCACATTCGTGAAAGAAAGAAATTAAGGAAGAGGATTCATTTTTATTCGACTCCTCACCTATATGGGCGAGTCGAGATGCTACATCTACTACACTATCGAAAGTGCAAGAATATTGGACTTGATTAATCAGTCGATTGTTAGTTTACTACTACTGTTGCTGGAAATTACTTTTTCGTAGGATTTCTGATGCCACAAACATGATTCCCTCTTAAGGATGAAGTGACGACTTGAAAATTGCAAACATGTTTTTATATGTGTATACTAACAGATTTATATATTAGTGTACATAGTGGGTACAAACGTTGGCAAGAAGTTCAAACCGCTGGAAAAAAAAAAAAAACTGTGAATGCTATTACTCACTCATCGTCTGGGTTGTAGTTGATTTTATGGTAAGTGTTGACCTGGTCACCATAAGAGACGCCTGCAACACACAACACGAGGAACAAGGAGACTAAGGTCCTCCTCAACATCTTGAGGACCACTTGATCCTTCACGACTTATGAACCAGAGTTCGTCTTACTGTGTCAACCAAGTATTATGTAGGAACAATTGCCAGAGGAATGATGTGAAGACGCTGCAGGTCTGGCGGTCAGTGAGCAGCTGGTCACCTGCACTGAATCCTGGCAGGTTATCTCTCTCCCGCCGCCATGGTTCAAATTGTAACTCACTTGACGTCATATCAGCCTCCGGCGGTTGCTGAATTTTTTCTTGTTGTGAAATACCAAAAACTGATTTTTTATTTATATTACATTTTAAACTTATTTAAATAAAGCTGTTTATGTAACAACGTTACTAAGAAGGCTGTCAATAATATATAATTACCAAGAATTCCTTGAAAAACGAGACATATAAGGAAGATAAATACTATGACTAGTATTATTCTATTAGCAAGTATTCTACAAAATATAATAAAAATAAAGCTTTAAAGAAATCTTAAGACTTACATTTTTTAGGACATACTGATATATCAAAAACAAAAATACAGTCAGTGGAAGTTAGTGATAAAGACAGCAGTATTTTTTTTTATCCAGATGATGGTGCTGGTCGCTTCTCAAGACTGAATGATTGGCCCCCGCAATACTTCTTGAAGGCTGATGGACTTATCATTTCTTTACCTCTCCATTGCTTCTACTGTCTCCAGTTTTAGTCACGTTTTGGAAATATAATTACTAAAGTGTTGCGCAAATGTCTTATTCATCAACTTGTCGATATTGTGTACCAGTGGCTGTACTTTTGCCCAGTGATGATCTCGACCAGTTACCCCAGTGTCAAATTTAGTATGTTCTCACTTCTGACGTTCCTACCGCTTCAATAGCTGTCAGTCTGTCACCCCTACTATCTTTCAGTCTACATAGTCCTCTGCAGCTGTTCCTGCAGCACCTCTGTTATAACACCAAAAACAAGCAATAAAACTCTCATTCCCACATTCCATCCTTTCACATTTTAAATTTTCAGATAGACTACCTGAAACTTTGACCCTCCTTCATTCACAAGTCGCAGAAATGCATAATTATCCTTCCCTTACCATTCTCAGAGGCAACGATTCAATTTAGCCCTCACAGAACCCTCCATTCCAAGAGATAACTGGCCCCTCGCAGCCCCATTATTCCAGAGGAACTGCCATTATTTTTACCCCTCTTCTTATGTTTTCTTTTGTCATCACTTACAACATACTACTTACTCATTCACTGACCTCAGAGAAAATATCGACACTTATCCAAGAAATGAACCTCGAGGTGCATCTTAAACAAGGAAAAGGCACAGGACACTCAACCATATTGTTGTATTTTGCTTCTGTGCCTAGAGCTGCCACTCAACGTAGAGTACATGATTCCAGGATTCTTGTTCCTTTATAATATTCCTCCAGGTAGGTCTCCAAGACCAGCTCACGTTGTCTCGTCAAGTATATAAACAAACCCTCTCGATTATCTTTACAGTTTTTAGAATTCCAAATGAAAACATGCAATTTACCAATCATTAAACCCATATTTAAAAAGTCTATAATACTGCAAGGTGAACTACAGTATTAGACTAGGTCAGTATACAATGCTAGTCATTCACTATCGAAGTTCCTATCATTATTTATATTAAAAGATATCCTGTGTATTTTAAGACAATTCCAAAATGAAAATTGAAATGAAAAACCATGATAGTTCACAATATTTCATTTTCCTCTAAAATTAATATGGTAAAATTAATATTCAGTAGTATCAGTAAATTCCTAATGGTTATAAATATAACCATAATTTTTAAAGGGGTGGACCAGTAAGCCAGCGGAAGGCTTCGGTCAGATGACCAAAAGCTCCAGCTGCAGGTCATCATTTGACTAAGACCCGCGTTAGGAAACACTTGTCCTGTTTCCTGAAAAAACTTACCTAACCTAACCTATTCAGTAGCCACTTGTTTATAATTGCTTCTAGTATACCTTTGTCTCTAGTATAGCTACTGTGGGTGTGGGGTCATAATCCAATGAAGTAACCCTATCCTCCCTTTCCTTATATTTAACTTGATTGTCTACCATTCCAGTGACGTTGAATGTCCCTACGGGTTTAGTTCTTCCCAATGATTACAAGAATAATAATAAGTTCAAGCCTGAAAACTTAGTATGAAGCAACAGTAGTTTACAATTATGATATAATAATCTAGTTTCTGTATCTTTGTTAGACAGCTATAGTTGTGTTCGTGTAGTCTTGTAAACATGAAATGTTGCTCTATTATTTTTCATGAGCAAGGTATAGATGCCATTGAACTTGTTTTGTATCGGCGTTTCAGAAATTTGCTAATTAAATTTTGTTAACCGTTTAATGTATAGGTGATTTTCATGTTCGGTGGGAGGGTAATAAGCCCGAGCAGTGTGGGCTTGACAATTATGTCTGTGTTGACATGTCACCAAAGGTGCGTACCCCAATTCTATTTTTCCACTTTTTCATATTCTGTTGCTATTTATGTCACCGTCCTTTTCCCAGGAGTTCAGCAAGAACAGCATGACGCACATCGAGTGTGGAGGGCGGTGGGCGAGTGCAACAGAACTGTGATAACTGCTGTATGGGGAACTGAGAGAGGGTGATCTCCGGCTGCTGTTACCCATCGAGCTTCACCTGTGATACTCTGCGATTGTTAACATTTCACTGCCTTCCTAAGCCCGTCTTTACTCCCATAACATTCACACTCTCACATGATCCTCTGGGGTTAGATAAAAAAAAAAATTATGGTCAGGAGGTGGAGTGGGCGTCTCAGTGTATCTGCTGAGCTTCCGGTGCTTGACCTGATACATATTCCTCTGGTTACAATGTATAGCTCACTACTCCTCTCTTCATAAATGTTTCCAGAGACGAAGCTTAATGGAATAGGAGGGACTAATGTGGCCAGAACAATTGTCGCCACCCATTTATTGCTCTGAGATCAACTAAAAGGTGCCGAAAATCGTCACATTCTGAACACTATAATTTATTAAATTCTGTAAAAACAAGCACCTCTTTATCTGTAGCTAATAGATGATACGTATCCTAAAGCATTCAGAGCATTCGAATTCTTATGTTATTAACGGAATGGATTTCAAATGAGGTCATGTGTCATGTCACTGAAAAAAAAAAAAAGCTCTGGCGGGTGATGGAGGCAGAGGACCGGGAACCAGCTTCAGCCGTGTACTGACACCCAGGCAGTGCACATCTCAATACTATTCTCCTCCAGCCAACTGAACTGTACATCACAAACAACTTGAGTCGTGTTATTTGTTGTGGTGATATGTAAACTCTGTTAAATTAAAACGATCTCTGGTGTTTAACTCGAGGAGATTCAAGTCTCCTCAAGATGGGGACGTCGTTAGCCTGGAGGCCTTCCTCCGGCATCTTGGCGTCTTTGCCTCTGGTGTTGGTCCTGGCAGCCGCCTCCCATGGAGGCAAGTCTAAGGCATTCCTTCGCAGTAACTACAGCCCACAAGACCAGTGAGTAACTTATGAATTTGTTGCTCATGTTTTAAGAAAATTGTGATAGGTCGTTTTATGCAGCAAAGCAATCTACACTTGTACAAAAGCACCAATTTTATAGTTAATAGCAGCTATAAAAAGAAACGCGTGTTAACTGGCTCAGCTCATGACAGAAATCTGTAATGTCCAGGGATAATTCATGTACCACTTGTAAATCAACACAGCACTCGTTACTTTTATGTATAAATAAACAACAACATGAACATGTGAAAATGGGACTTTTCGGTTAGGTCGTTAGGAAGATGGTGGAGCGAAAATGCTCATTTAGGTAGTATCACCCTGACATTAGTGAGAAACGGAACATTACAAAGTTTTGCACTTGTACAGAACTGCTGATTTTTCCATTATGTCTCATGAATATCTAGATGGCAAGTACGTAAATCTTAAATAACTTCTACTACTAATAATTATACACTTACCTTTTCGAGGCGGTAGACTGAGATTAAAAACAAATACGATATTGTGTACATATACTTTAGTTTAAGGCTTTCGATAAAGTCGTTGTATAGCCCTTGTGGTTTAGCGCTTCTTTTTGATTATAATAATAATAATTTCGATAAAGTTGTACGCAGGAGACTGATTAAGAAAGTAGAAGCACATGCAATAGGAGAAATTATCTCTTTGTACGAGGCTTGGCTCACTTGATAGGCAGCAGAGTTTACGTTAATAGGGTAAAATCCGTTAGGAGTGGTGTTCCACAGGGGTCAGTATTGGGACCTTTGTTGTTCACAATCTACGGTAACGACATAGACGAGGGGATAAATAGAGACATGAGTAAGTTTGCCAGTGACCCTAAAATAGGCCGTCAAATAAATTCTGATGAGGACACTAGAAAGCTATAGGATGATCTGGATAGGTTGAAGTTATGGTCAGAGAAGCGGGAGATGTAATTTCAAACAGATGAAAATAAAATAACTGTGGTACCTATTAGTAAATAATGTAGGAAGAAATTTAATTCTTGTTAGCAGAAATTTAAAGCCAAGACAGAAGTTCATAAGTATTCCCAATAAAAGTAATAGAATTCATAGTTTCTTATGAATTATAAATTATCAAAGTCCTAATGTTATATTTCAGCTTTATATACCATTGGCTACATTTCATATAGAATATGCTGCTCGGTTCTGGTCTCCATATTACAAAATGGACAAATTCACTGAAAAATATACAAAGAAGGATGATGAAGTTAATGCCTTTTATTAGCAATCTTTCCTGTCAAAATGGACAAATTCACTGGAAATTATACAAGGAAGGATGACGAAGTTAATGCCTTTTATTAGCAATCTTTCCTGCCCGGTGGCCTGGTGGCTAAAGCTCCCGCTTCACACACGGAGGGCCCGGGTTCGATTCCCGGCGGGTGGGAACATTTCGACACGTTTCCTTACACCTGTTGTCCTGTTCACCTAGCAGCAAAAGGTACTTGGGTGTTAGTCGACTGATGTGGGTCGCATCCTGGGAGACAAGATTAAGGACCCCAATGGAAATAAGTTAGACAGTCCTCGATGACGCACTGACTTTCTTGGGTTATCCTGGGTGGCTAACCCTCCGGGGTTAAAAATCCGAACGAAATCTTATCTTATCTTAAGGTTATGAAGTTGCACTTTCAGGAATGACGTAGAACTTTTTTTTATATTTTATTTAAAACGTCATATTACAAAATATAAAATTTAAAAATAGAAAAACATCTGCCTTAACAAAAATGTATCCAAACAATAAAACATAAAACAGTACATCATATTCCATGATCAACATTCTAACTCTTGCAATATACACGTCAAGCGACCTACGCCGTACAACCTCCAAAACTGATAATGGAGATAAGAGCTCTGTGGCCCAAAAGGTCCTCCCACCACTAACAAAAGATTCTAAAGACCTGCATTAATAACTCATTAATAACCATGATAACTACTATATAAGCGGATAGCCGGACGTGTATCATATCTGTTTAAATACATAATTTACAATACATAAAACAAAATGACAAAAGAACATACCAACTATCAATGCTCAAAGGCTATAATTACAATGCAAACATGGATTCCAATGACGTAGAACTAGGGAGATGTGATTGAAGCCTACGAATGGAAAGGAGGAATAAATAAAAGGGATATAAATATGTTTAGAATATAACCAAGACAGAATTCGCAGCAACTGATTCAGGTTGGAGTGATTTAAATTTAGAAAGGATATAGGGAAGTACTGGTATAATAATAGATCTACTTGTGGATGAATGGAACTAATTCCGAGGTAGCGTCATTGAGACAAGAATTTTGGGTAGGTTTAAATATAGGTTGGAATGGTACATGAGTGGGTATGGGTGGGTATAAAAGTAGACCTGGGCCAGTAGGCTTCAATTATTCTTGCGTTGTTTCCCAAGTCTGTATTATCTCTTCTCTTATTTTCTTGGGAAAGTAAACTTAAATCCTTCCCCTGCAACCATGCATGCAGTAGAATTCCACTATATTACATGGAACAAGGTCTGGTTAACTTTTTTCTTGTAATAACCAAAAAAAAAAAATAGAAAAATGTTTAAATTTTAGTCGTTTGAATTTACATGGGAATACTACGGAAGTTAATTGTTGATGTTGATGTTACTATTGACAGGAATCTGGAACTCCTAGTACTGACTGAAACAGTTAAGTGAGATCAGGGACTATAAGTAGGAAGTAGTTAAAAAAAATAACTGGTGTATCTCTGATACTGAGACCTAAAGGCGTGACGGTAATGTTGAATTAAAAAAATTAGAAAGGGTTATAATTATTAAGCCATTCTTTATTATTTTGTTGTATATCCTCTTTTGAATAAATCGTTTGAGTCTATTTTCATATATGTTGTAAACTCAGTATAATGCATTTTGCTTCTCGTAAGAACTATTTTAGAGCATCATATTTTCTGTTAATTTTGTCATAATTAAAACAATTATTCCCAATAAAATATGATCAGTTTGTCCAAGCGTGTTGAGATTTTTTTTCAAATAATTTTTAGTAAATACTAGGTCTAGTATTAATGGTAGGCTGCCATCTCACCCGAGTCCTATTGTTAACATGCTCATACGATTTAATAAAAAAAACATTATGTTGAGAAATTTAGCTGATAATTTCCTTTTAATTAGTATATTATGTACGATAGGCTCTCATATCCCTTCTTTTATCTACAAGTATTACTAAACAGTAGGACATATGTATTTGCTATGCTGAGTTTCTTGGGCATCTAGGGTTTAATTTGAATTTCTTCCGCTACGATTTAAACATTCTATGGGTGTGAAGTCTTGAGTATTGTTGCTTTTATTGTCTTTTTAACCAGTTCTTCATCCTTAATCTGTTTTTTTTATCCACACTGCGCAGTCAGTCTCGAAGGCTACGTCATTTAGAATATTTACTATAGTTTGATTTCAACTAGATTCGCTGCATTAACTTTATTTCCATATATAATGTCCTTTAGCTCTATTTTTTAAATTAAACCTTTATTTAGTATATAATTACTTTGTTATTCCTTAATACCTACGAAATTTGTTCAAATTCTGTAATTTTGATTGATAACGCCCTGATCCACCTGGAGGCCTGGTCACAGGCTGGGCCACGGGGGCGTTGATCATCCAAACCTCTTCAGGTATACTCCAGGTATCCACTCTTTTTCCCATTAGTCCTTTCCATTCTCTGGGACACCACTTACATTTACTATTATTATTATTATTATTATTATTATTATTATTATTATTATTATTATTATTATTAAAATAAGCACTAAACCTGTATGTCATAGTGCTGCGAATAGGGGTATGTATGGGAAGTGGTTAGTGGAGGTTGGCGTTAGTCTGGACTCAGAACTGATGCAATGAAGGCAAGGAATATAAATAGTTGATACCGTAGTATAACTTAGATAAAACTAGGACTTAATATATGTAAGATCTTGTCTATCAGCTACCCAAGAAAAATGCAGTGAAGTTTTAAGCAGGTTCAACAGAGTATGACTGGCAGCTTGTTGGGAGGTTGAGACTTCCATGATATCCAATGATCAAAGAGAAGTCTGAGAAGTTTGACCGTATCTTCAAAAGATACGGAAACCCTATAGGTATAAAAAGGGATGAGGGGTAACAGGACGTCTCGTGTGGAAGTCATGCAATTTGATTAACAATACAAAACTTAAAATTACGTGAGGTGGCCCAGTTGAAGGCCCTGTCAAAAGATTATTAGAGAGAGAGAGAGAGAGAGAGAGAGAGATCGCTGAGTTAACAATCTGAACCTGTACACGCAATAGCAAAATCGTCTACATAGAGGAATGAACAGCTAGTTGAAGGAAGAACAGAGGCGAGTTTGGTAATGACGAGCAGAAACATGGTAGCGCTAAGAATATTGTACAACCTCGCGGCAAACCTTCAACTTGCGCTAAGTGAAAGGAGGACGGGGTTGTGGGTAATATTTACTTGAACACTGAAGTGCTTGAAGAAAAATGGTAGGTTTGCCTCGAAGACCTAAGATATGGACTTGTGATAGATGCAACGCCAGGTAGTGTTGAAAAAATGCAGTTGCTGATTAATTATTATCGACGAAGCTGTTGTGGACGTATGTGTCGAGGTGGATCAAGGAGTTATGGTGAAACAGCTTTTTCTAAAACCAAATTAATGAGGGGGGTGGGGAGAGTAAGTTTCAAGTTTTTAAGTATCACACGAGACATTCAGGCAAGATACAGATGGTATACCTGGAGAGAGTTTCGGGGGCCAACGCCCCCGCATCCCGGTCTGAGACCAGGCCTCATGGTGGATCAGGGTCTGATTAACCAGGCTATTATTGTTGGCCACACGTAAACCGACGTAAGAACCGCAGCCCGGCTGGTCAGGTACTGACTTTAGGTGCCTGTCCAGCACCTTCTTGAAGACAACCAGGGGTCTATTGGTAATCCCCCTTATACTGGAAGGCAGTTGAACAGTCTTGGCTAGAGCGACGGTTTTATAATAAAAAGTG